CTGTATGGCATTTTTCATATTTCTTATACTTTCTAACCTTTAGACAAGTCACTTAACCTCTGATTGCCTGACAAAAGGATTCACTGGAGAAGAAAATAGCAAATCACCCCAGTATCTTTGCCAAGAAAACCCCATGGACAGCAACAATATACTTTCTAACACTAGATTCCCAATTCTGGTCGAGCCAGGGGCCGAAGGGTGGGAGCAGAGAACATGTAGAAACCTGGAGACCTCAAGGTTACCTGATTGAGGGATTATGGTTGTTCTGGAAGAGAATTCTGTTCCAGAAATGATATAGTGAAACATTGAATTAGGGAAGAGAAAGGAGAAGGAGTTATCATCAGCATCTGCCCCACTTTTCTGTGGTTTAGTTCACAAGAACCTCCTGAGGGATGAGGAGGGCAGAGAAAGTTGATACCTTCAATTCAGCAAACACTGATTAAGGACTACTGTGTGCAACTCTCTGGGCATTCTGGACATTAGGCATATAATGAAAAGAAATGTCTGTGTTCTCAAGAAGCTTATATTCAACTTCCTATCCTTCTCCCTAATTCCAGAGCCCCAAAGGTCCAGAGCTTGAATTTAACAGTTCAGTAAGTACGTATTAAGCACCTACTGTGTGCCAGGCACTGTACTAAGTGCTGGGGACATAAAGACAAAAAAGCATTTTCCCTCAAGGCGATTAAATTCTGATGGGCTGACTGAACCAGTACTCAAGTAGGAAAGGAGCTATAGCTGTGATTTCATTGGCATGGGGAACTCCAAAGTGATTTCCAGTTGGCTCCTTCTCTGCAATTTAGTCTCAGACAGTTGCTGCCCTTTAGCATTAAGAATGATTTACCCAGCCATTATGTGTCAGAAGCAGGACTTAAAACGGGTCTTCCTGGCTCTAATACCAGCTGTCTATCCACTACTCCACACTACTTCTGCTTACTCAAGAAAATAACTAAATGGGATAGCTAGGTAGTGCAGTGGATAGAACACCAGCCCTGAGGTTGAAAACCTGAGTCCAAATCCAGTCTCAGATCCTTGCTAGTTGTATGACCCTGGGCAAGTCACTTGACCCCAATTGCATCCAAAAAAAAAAAAGAAAGAAAAGAAAAGAAAGAAGAAGAAAAAAAAGAGAAAATAAGTAATCTCAAGAGGGAAAGATCAGGAAAGGCCTCATGTAGGTAGGTGGTAGCATCTGAGATAGACTCTAAAGGATATGAGGGATTTTTTTTTTTGAGGCAATTGGGGTTAAGTGACTTGCCCAGTGTCACACAGCTAATAATTGTCTGAGCTTGGATTTGAAAGCAGGTCCTCCTGACTACAGGACCAGTGTTCTAACGACTGGACCACCTAGATGCCCCATGTGAAGGATTCTACACCTTAACAGTAAGGAAAGCCGGAGAATAGAGCAAATCCTTCCTCTATATTGAATAGGGAACCAGGCCTATTCAGAGAAAAAATGAAACTGGTACCCCTCTAAGTAGCTTAAAAACAAATGGACATAGGTCAGCTAACCACTCATTTCTGGGTGTCCTGAAAACATTTGTTTAATATCTGTCCTACCTTCCACCTCCCTCTTTTCTCCATATCTATATTCATATAACTTTCTGAGATGGTTTTTCATATATACTATTGAAAGACTCCTATGTCAATGGACAAACACAAGCTGGCAGGGTCATTCTAACATTATTCATCCTAGTTAATTAACAATAAATACAGAGGGCACTGGAGTGGAAAGGGTTTTCAGAGTCAGAAAATCTAGGTCTAAGTCCCACGGTCCCTTACCTCTCAATAGTACAACCTTCTTCCCCTCTCTGGCCTCAGTTTCCTCATTTATAAAAGGAGAGGTTAGACTAGATCATCCTCAAAGTTCTTTCTGGCTCTAAATCCTATGACCAGAGTGCACAATTTATTTTGTCCCTTCTAATTTATTTTTTAAAATAAATGTTATTGACACTTTTTGTTTTAACATCACCTAAATTTCTCCCAGTATCCTTCCCTTTTTCCTTCTCAAAGAACCATGCCATATAACAAAGATTGTTCAAAAAAAAAAAAAAGTGAAGCAGAAGGAAATAATTCAGCAAAACCCAATCAATACATCTAAAAGCCTAAAAGTACATACAACATTCCACACCCATGAGGCTCCCACCTCTGCAAAACAGTGAGGGAATGTGTGTCTTCTCACATCTCCTTGGAGTCATATTTGTTCTTAGTAATTATGTAAGTCATTTTCAATTGTTTTATGGTGATTCCTTCCATTTACATTGTAGTAGTCATTGTGCATGCTATTTTCTTGGCTCTGCTTACTTCACATTTCATCAGTTCAGAGGGCTTGTAAACGCCTTCCAATTCTTCTCATCATTTGGTATTCTTTGTTTCTTTAAAGCATAATAATATTCCATTACATTCCTGTAGCACAATTTGTTTACCCATTCCTCCAAGCCACATACAGCTACTTTGTTTCCAGTTCATTGCTACCACAAAAAAAGGTGCCACAAAAATATTCTGGTGCATATTTGGATCTTTTTTTCTTATCAATGACCTCCATGAGGTGCAAGATAGAAAGATGTCCAGGAGTAAAATCTGAGTCAAATGGTATGGACATTTTACTCATGTTATTTGAATAATTTCAAACTGCCTTCCAAAAAAGGTTTATTGATTCGAAGCTTCTCCAACAATGCACTACTGTGTCTATCTTCCCACAACTCCTCCAACATTGACTATTTCATCTTTTGACATCTTTGCCAACTTACTGTATGGAGGTCAAATCTCAGGGTTGTTTTGACTGGGCAATTTACTTTTAAAGCAGCTACCTGTTCATCCATTTGTATGTAGGTTTGGCCTGCTTTTGCAGACATGCATAGTTAGGTATGCGCTCTGGGATATGACCCCAAGGTTGGAGAAAAGGTGGGGATACGAGAGGCTGAAGCACACTTTGCTTCACAAGAAACGTTTTTTTCCCCCTGCAGATTATAAAGAACTTCAGAACGATTCGGCTTCCACCACAACCCCTAAACTTCTTTTTCCATCTTTGCCTTAGAATTCAATTTTGGGGCAAAGTAGGGTTTGGGGAGGCTGGGCCCCTCGAAACCCGGCTCTGACCGCCGAGCAAACATTCCCTCTCTCCAAGAGACAGCAAAGCAGCTCTTACGTGGTGTGCAGTGAAGGGGCCAGGCTGAGGTTTATCGCTCTGGCAACCCGGGGGTGATTCATTTGAGTTTTGACTCCTGGTTGTCATAGATAGGGGCAAGCAAACAAACAAGCTGCCACACTATCCCCTAACCCCACTCCTTCCCGGTCCCCTCCTCCTCCTCACCCTAGCCTAGTTCTCCTCCTACTCTGCCCCCCCCACCCCGGCCCGCGACCAGCTGCTTTCTCCCCTCCCCCCCATGCCTGCGGTCAGAGTTGAGCAAACACGCCCCACCAGCCCGCTGGCTCTGAGCGCGCTTTGCTGGCGATTCCCGGGGCAACCAGGAGCCTGGAGAGCTGGCGCCCCTGAGACCTCTACCCTCCTCCCTGTTCCCCCCTTCTCCCCCGGGTCCCAACACCATCTCCCTTCTCTACACCAGTTTGGCTCCTCTGGGTCACCCATGCCTTATTAACATGGTCTCCTTGCGCAGTCACTGGCTGCATGTCCTACACCTTTCCCCGTCCGGGCCCCAAAGCAACAGTGGGGAAGGCAACGGGAAAAATCTCCCCTTGTTTACACGTCCGAGAGGGTGGAATTGGAAGCTGGTTCCTCATTTCGTTTCCCCTTTCCTCTAGTTTCCTATGGTTCCTGGAGAGTATGTGAAAGGTCTTGTAAACACCCTTCAAAGCCCCTCACCCCCTGGAAATGCCTAGGAAGATCAGGACAAAAAATTCGAGCTCAAAGGGAAAGAAGGAGAAGGGTAAGGAGTCAAAGTACTTGAAACATTAGGAAGGCACCTTTAAATAAACTTCTGGCAAAAAAAGGGGGGGGCATATCAAATCTAGGTGAGAACGATAAATGGAGAAGACACTGGGGGAACGGGATAGACTGCTTGTCCATTTTACAGGAAGAATAAGGGAAGGGCTTGGGGCAGCTCTTCGATTTATTTTGGGAGGAGTAACCCAAGGGAACCTGGGAGGGTAAACAGCCCAGTTGGAAGAAAAAAAAAACATACGCATGATCATTACGTATGCAAAACACCGAGTTTGGAGCGACCACTGTGGCTTTCTCCTGCCTTCTCCCGAAAAGGGGTGTCAGAGAAGGTAGGGAGGTAGTCAAGAAGGGAATGTTTGGGCGCGTGTGGGATTGGAGACCCGACGAAGCGACAAAGAAAGCCTTTATGTGCGGCTACTCAAAGAAAGCATGTGTATGTGTGTGTATATGTGTGTATATATACATGTGACAAAGGCTGTCTTCCCAGGGAAGACACTAGTGACCCAGTGATTGAAGGAAGATAAGGTTCTTTACTAGGTAGGGTGGGCTCCTAGTACACAAACACGTGTGCCAGGTAGAAAGTATAGACAGAGTGTTTGCCCACGTGTTGGTGGGGGGAGGGGGCGGGGAGAAAGGAGAACAGTAACAACCCACAAACTAGCTTTTCTAGAAACTCAAATTTCCCCCCATCGCCCGAAAGCTAGCCTTGGGAAGAGGTGGAAATGAGTCCAGGGGGGCGGAGGGCTCTCTGGGGAGGTTTGGTTAAGGCGTAAACTGATTGCACATACCTGGGAGCGTTGTGGTGTGCTCGATAAGGGCCCTGAATGGAGGTGATGTCACGCTGATGCAGAAGCCGGCCCACCCTCTAGGAAGAGAAAGAAAGGCGAGAGTGGGGCAGAGACAGGGAGCTGGAGGGAAGAAGATAAGCCAGCCCCTCTTTTTCCGTCTGGGCCTAGGGTTGAGGCAGGTAACCCCTGACCCCCACGCGTCCCAGCTCAGCACCCTCCTCCCAAATCCCTAGCGCCTGCCCACCCGGGGATCCAGCGCTGGGACCTGCGCCCACGCCCAGCCGGGAGTCCCTCCTCCTTCTCCTCCCTCTCTCCAGTCCTTCCACTTGCGCCTAGCACGGGGCCGCAGCTGGCCCCGATCTCTCTGCTGCCGTCCGGGAGGTAGAGGCGTCCCAGGTAAGTATGGCTTCCTTTCAGTTGGCCTTATTGGAGAGCAGAGGGGAGGGAGGGCGGGGAGCTTGGGAGTCGAGGGGGTGGTGGCAGAGTCTAGGAAGAAATCTGGGTGGGACGGCACTGGCACCCCATTCCCCCGAGGCTTAGTCGAGTTCTCCGGGGGATTTTTTTCCTGGAGCGCAGGCAGTCTGTTGGAGGGGCCAGGGCGAGGGAGTTTAGGGAGAAGAGGGTATTCCTTCATACAGTAGTTCGGGGGTGGAAAGCGCTCCCAGCGGCTCCCCTGGCTGCTTCTGCTAGGGAGCCTCTCAGTCAATATTGACTTTTGCGGGTCGGATTCCTCTAGGCAGCCCGCTACCGAAGGGGGTTGGGGAGAGGGCAGATTGCCGGGGCTAAAGGACTGCCCGAAAAATTTGGCTGCCACACAGCAGCACCTCGGGCTTCCTCGATTTGAGAACGGTAGGAGTAGACTCCAGAAGCCAGAGGGACAGGGGAGTGTCTAACTTCAAGGAAGACTTTGGAGTGCAGACCCCCTAGTAAGCCTCACTCGACCTCCCTTCTGGCCACTTGGCTTTTTGTTCTCTCGCCATCCTCCCTCGACTTCCCACCCCCCTCAGCCCTATGGTGCCTTTGCTTTCCAAATTCCCCTGCCAGCCACAAACCATCCTTTAGTCTTCTCCCTGACCCGAACCTTGTATGTAGGAGTCACACAAAAACAAAACAAAACACTTTTAACTTTGTCCAGAGAACTACGGGCATAGAGTGGTACCTTCTTCAAAATAGCCGGAATATCAGGAATTGTGACTGGATAGTGCAAAAAGCACAAAAGTTTGGGACCAGTTTCTGAGAGTATTAGATGCCTATCTTTGAAGCCTGCTTAATGTCCCTTGTTGACTTGACTGCCCTTTTTTAGTTTTGCTTCTTTTTATTGGGGGTAGGAGAAGAGGTGTTGAGAAACAACTCCAAAGCCCACCATAACCCTCTGGAGCCCTCCAGAATGAGAAATCTGACCACTGGGCCTAAAGGCTACCCCAGGGACAGGAAGAGGTTGGAACAAAATGGGATTCGAGTGGGAGGAAATGTAAAGCCATCAATACATCAATAGATTTGATAGGTTGCTTAAGTGGTGGAAGGAGGGGGAAGGAATGGAAAGGGGTCCTAAGGGGGGGAGAGGAAGTGGGGAAAGGATGCTTTAGACTTAGTCTTTCTAGACCCTTCCTTTGCTTTGCTCCTGTGCCTGAGGGTGTCTGTTGTGGGGTTTTTTGGGGGGGGGGCAGGGGGAATGATGGTGTGTAGGCTGCCTGTGGGTGGTGTCTAGAATTTAAACTTTATGCCATTGGGATTTGGCGAGTAATAATATGCCTTATCTCATTTGATAAGGAAAAGGCACTGAGAAATTAAGCGACTTTCTTGACACAGTGTCCAGAAAGGATTCAAACTTAGGTCTCCCCTGAGTTCAGATCCAGCATTCTTTAATACTATCTAACATGCTGCCCCTCCAGGGTCTGTATGAAGTCTAGTGTTCTTGTTAGCATCCTTTGCCCTACAGGTTCTCAGAGTTTAAGGCAATGATGAGGGGAAGGGTGAGGCATGTGTTGACCTGACTGGGTACTGTAAATCCCAAAGATTGGTGGTAAGAGGGAATAGTGAAGAGAGTAGGTGTCCTTTGCAGCCCATACACTAAAAATGTCTCAATAAAGCTGGTCAGATCTGATTTGGGTCTTCAGATGATTTCATCTCCTTTATTTCCCCCTCCTCTTTCAATTTCCCTGCTAGGGCCATTTATTTACCTCCCCCAAGAAAGGTGAGACCAGAGGAAGAAGAAGGTAACTAGCCTGGACTGGATGGATCAGGACCAGTGTCAGGGAACTGGGTGGCTTGGCCTGGGATTAGCTTGATTTTAAAAATGATTAAAAACCCTTTGTTCAGTCAAGGCCCACAGAAGCAAAAAGTGACTTTTGTGCAGGAATCATAGTTCAGTGCTGAGCTTCAACATCATAACAGGGGAAGATACACAGAGGAACAGAAGGGATTTCTTCTGTTCTCCTCCCCTCTGAGATCTGAATTGTCCATTCCCAGTATTCTGCTCTGAGCCCTAAAGGAAAAGCTCTAGGGTAAGGGTTCCTAGCTTTTTTGCTTTTTTTTTTTTTTTTTGGTCTCTTGGGCCCTTTTGGTAGTCCAATGGAGCCTATAAAGATGTACTTTTTCCCCATTCTGCTTCACAGAACCCCTCTCCATGGATCCCAGGTTAAGGACCCCAGCTGTAGGCTCAAGCCTTGGGAGCCCTTCTTAAAACACAAGAAACAGAGATTGTGCGAGCAATAAGAAGAAAGCAAGTACCCCTTAACGCATTTTGGATAGCAGACTACAGCCTGCTTTGGCCTCTTTTCCCAAACACCAACCTATAACCTCTTGTTGAGGGAAGAACAAGTTGGCCATGACTGAATTTGAATTCCTGTCTCCTATATCACAACCAGGACTTGAAGTCAGGGGCCTGTAGCTACCAGATTTTTACATGAGCTTCAGGGAGTCCCCTCTTCTAAGCAAGCTTAGCTAGAGCACAACAACTCACATAACTTTCATTCTTTGTCCTTGTGAAAATGATCAAGTCCCCCTGGCCCTTCTATCTCCCCACCAAGCTGATATTTCAATTGTTTGATTTGAGGCTTATTTAGGGCAGGGTTGATATGGTGAGCCCATTGCCACTCTCTTAATGGTGCCATCCTTCATGCTTTCCTGGACATTCCCATAGCAATGGAAGTAACAGAGTTGATTTTCCAGCTGGGAGAAAGGGTCAAGGACGGGGAGAGTTGCCTGACAACAGGCAGTAAGAAAATGGATGAATTGGACTAAGGTTTCCTTAACCTGACAGTTGTTACAGGAAATTCAGAGACAAAGAAGATCTGATCAGGTATTATCCTGGGGAGGTCACCAAAGCAAAGAGGATAGAATGGATTGTCTTTTTTATATAGTTCATCAATATGGACAAAAAAATGAGGAGACCTGATGTCTACCAAGTATGCAAAGGAAGCTGGGAATGAGACAGAACCTATAAAGGTGCTTGGGGGGGGGGGGCAGCATTTTCTGACCTCTGCCTCACTTTCCCCAGCTCTGTACTGGTACCCAGTTCCCTGTGGCTTTCCCCAGCTCTATACTGGTATCCAGTTCCCTGTGGCTCATAAAATCCTCTGTTAGCAATGGCTGTGAAGAAACCCGAAAGAAAGTTACTTAAATGGAAATCATCACTACCAGTGTGGGTTCTGCCTTCATGACTATATATCAGAACTCATTCTCACCTTTTCATCCAATGCAGTTAATTTTTATCTATGTTCTTCCGCAAATCCTCTATCTTACAACATAGGGAATCTTTGGGTTATTGGTCCAGTATTGGTTAATGGTGACTCATTTACACATTAGCCACACCCAGATAAGTTGTTTTTTATTCAATCCCAATTTGGACTATATTTATGATTTATAGTAAGTCCTCACCTTAAAATGGGGGTAGCTAGGTGGTGCAGTGAACAGAGTTCCTGGCCTGGAGTCAGGAAGACTCATCTTCCTAAATTCAACTATGGCCTCAGATGCTTATTAGATGCGTGACCCTGGGCAAGTCACTTAATCCCTGTTTGCCTCAGTTTCCTCATCTGTCAAATGAGCTGGAGAAGGAAATGGCAAACTACCCCAGTTTCTTTGTCAAGAAAACCCCAAATGGGGTCACAGAGAATTGGACAGGACTGAAAAACAACTGAACCACAACAAAACACCTTGTAAATGTATTGTTTGAAACTATATTTTCACATAATGTGGTTGAGTGGACTGAGCACTGGACTGTGAGTGGAAACTTGGGTTTGAGCCTGGGTTTTGGCACTTGGCTAGCTCTGAGATTTCATTTCCTTACTTGTAAAATGGGAATATAGTACCTCAGTCAGAGGATTGTTGTGAGGAAAGCATTTTTTAAATCCTTAAGCACTGGATAAATGTCAGTTATTATCGTCACCATTATTGCATACTGGTGGTTATGTCCTGCCTGTGATTTTTCTACTGTTAAAGTACCTGGTTGTCTCCTTCATTGGAAAGTAAGCTCCCTGAGGGCAGGGACTATTTTTCCCCTTTGTGTACCCAGCCCTTAGCATTTCCCACTATGCCTGGCATATGAAAAGTGCTTAATAATAAATGCTTCTTGACTGATAGGACTCTGTAGCTACCTATATGAAGGTCACCATTGTTCTTTAGGGGCAGCTAGGTGGCTCAGTGGATAAGAGTATAGGGCCTGGAGTCAGAAAAGAAGACTTCTCTTCCTGAGTTCAGATCTGGCCTCAGACACTCTCTGTGTGACCCTGAGCAAGTCACTAAACCCTGTTTGCTAATTTATAAAATGGGCTGGTCAAGGAAATGGCAAACCATTCTAGTATCTTTGCAAAGAAAACCTCAGATGGAGTCATAAAGAGTCAGACATGACCGAAACAACTGAACAACAGCACTGTTCTTTAACTTTATAATAATCTTAAACTTTCCTGAGGCGCAGTACATTGAATGCGTCACCTGTGGTCATACAGCTTATAATTGTCAGAGGCACAAATTGAAGTCAGGTCTTTTTGACACAGAGCACAAATTCCTAGCTGATACATCACACTGCCTCCATTCAATCTGTAATGTAGCTAAATGGTGAGTTCGGGGGGGAGTCTATCTCATACATGTGAAGACTTCCACCAGTGGGATGGGCAGGGAACCCTTTGTTCCAGTGGCCATGAAGCAGCTAAAGCAGGCACTGTGGAGCACTTAGAGCTTGGTCAGATATGGAAGATGCCAGGGTCATCCAGTGCATCCTTAGCCATTGCCAGGCATCTTGGCTTTTGTCTTGCCACTGGACTTCCTATGACTCTGGAAGAGAGTGAAGCTGACAACTTTGTGCAGCTCTGCCTCACTTAAATCCCATTCATTCAACACATCAGTCCGTGATGTCATTGGTTCTGAAAACAGAGGACAAACAACAATGTAGCTAACAA